GAATCACTGCCTCTTCTAGGGCTAACGTTCTTGGCTCATATGAAGTGGATTCCATTGCTAGGTCAGCTGCTAAAAACCTTGGTTCACTGTGCCATGCTAGACAATTTTTCTCTCCAGAATCTATTTTACATATCTTTAAGTATACCATTCATCCATGCTTAGAATATTGCTGCCACATATGACCCGGTGCAACAGCGATTTATCTTGAGCTCCTTCATAAAATGCAAAAAAAAAAAAAAAAGGATCAGCTATATTACTGGTTCTGATCTGGCATCTCGGCTTCAAGAACTTTCCCTGTAAGGTAGCCTCCCTGTGCTTTTTCTTTCATGCTAATTGTTCGAATGAGCTCTTCGCTATGGTACCTAAACTTTTTAAAATTTAAGCGCAGTACTAGGCTGTCTACATGGTCTCATCAATTTACAGTTGAGCTGTGTATGTTTTATGCTAACAGTTTCTTTTCTTGCACTTCTCGCTTGTGGAAATCCTTTCCGGCTCCATGCTTTCCAGCCAACTTTAATCTTCAAAAATTTAAATACAGTGTCAAGCGCTATCTACTGTCCTCCTAATTACTCTTCTTTTGTTCTCCTTCCTTAGATGAGTCGCTGTTACTAACTCTCCCACACCCAGTAACCCCTTGTGGCTTTACTACGTTGCATTGGGTGAACTGGCTTAAAAATATACACTCCCCCCCCCAAAAAAAAACAATTACTTGAACTGGCCAACTGATAAGATTTATATTTTCACTGTGGAGAGAAATTAAATGACGTCAATAAGTCAATGAATCGTTCCTACGTCGTTCATTCAGCCGCTCACTTGATACGAGGTTGGATCAAAATTAACTAAATTTTGAGTTGAGATTTTACCTGGACGATGTTAGGTGTATGTCATTGGTAATTTAGTATTACGTTACTATACTGTTATTTGTAAGTTTTACTTCTTGTCAGTTATCCTTTTATTTCCGTGAACACAAGATTAATTTCCGCTGCTATGTTGTGAGTGAATCCCCATGACCCTCAGATTACATTTACATGCTTCTTTGTAGTTTAGTCCCGGTTTACTACTGAACACTTTCTTCAAACAATATCTCCGTACAGGGAGTCCCTTGTGATTCATCCATTTTTTTATATCGCACGATTTTTACGAGATTATTCATTTTTTTTCTTTACATGAATAAATCCTAGTACTCTCGTAGATGGTGTTTCAGGCTTTGTCTTCCTAAAAAGAAATTGAAAATGCATCGGAGGCAGTAAGTATAGCAGGAAGCCATTTTCCATTCCATTTTAGCACACAGTGCCCATGTTTCACTGCATTATACGAGGGTTGCGCATACGGGGACCTTGATGCATTCTATTCAGCACGCTGTCATTCTATGTCCATGGCAGATATCAGTGTGGAGAAGAGAAAAAGGAGGGGAGAGGACGAGATTATAATATTAGATTATTATAGCAAGACAGAAATCATGTTAATTCTTCGGCTTCAGAATGTGTTTGGCTGAGTCGGCGGTATGCGCTGATACGTTCACCAAAAGACAGTCAGCCTGGGAATTTATATGAACTTTAATTTTTTTTCTTAATGTGGAAAGCTTGACGCGCTTGCCATCTAACCTTTTCTGAAGGTAGATCATATCTCTGGATGATACAATAGCGTGCTTTAGTAAAGTAACCCTGAAAAGGAACTAGGTCACAGCTCTGTTTTAGTCCACATCCACATTAATTCTTCCATTGCCAACATTCTTACATTATCTCTAACTATTATTCTCATCGTGGTTGATATAGATGTCATTATAGACACAACGTTTCGACCAAGTACCCTCTGGTCATCTTCAGGTATTCGTCGTTCCTGCTCTGGATCACTGCCTGATCTAAGATTGAACCCATGACTACTAAATGACAATAACACAATATCAAGTGAATTATATGTAATTAATATTTTCTTATCAGTTAAGTGTATTGGCAAGGAAGGATATTATGTTGAAAATAGATATTTCTAATGCAAAATAAATGTCACCCTACCATAGATGAAAGGCCTACACTTTCTTAGTATATTAGCCAGAGTTTACTGGACATGTGGCCGAGTAGAGCCTTCGCATTCTGACTCTGAGACCAGAGTTCGAATCTCGCCATGGTCGATTTGTTAGGTGGGGGGAGACTTCCTAGTGTTATTTGATTGGATGGGTCAATTCCAGCGTGCGGTATTGGAAAGTTTATGTGAGTGAAAATTAGGTAGCTCTCGATGCACGAAGTCCCAAGTCATCGTGGTCGAGGGCTTGAGCGTGCTTGCTTTGTTCAAATTGTTGATCACGCTACATAACACACTTTTTCACTGTAACTCTAACTAAGGTCTGCTCAGCATAGTTGTAGTATAAAATCACCCAGTTTGTGGAGGTTAAATAAACACAAATGCGCCTGAGCAAGCGTCTGCAATAGGGATTGGCTAGCCGCCCTAATAGGCGGGTATCCTCGAATACGAGTGGCCAGCTAGACCATATTAGAGTTGATTAGGTAGGTCGGTTTATATTCCGCCAGCCGAGTACGAAATGAACGTAGCAGATTCGACGGTGATTCGAACTCGTCTCATCGATTTCATTTTCATTCTGATAACCGTGAATTCTGATACTAGAAATAAATTTGAATATTTCTAGTTGACAAAAAAGCAAGTTAAATGTGTTACTTTTATAAATATTATTTTAGACTACATGTTTCCTATTATTTTCTTTTTCGTTTTAATCGCATTGCCAAAATTAACAAATATAAGTAAATGAAAAACAGCCAGTGTTTCATAAGATTTATATTACATTTTTTAAAGGAAGAAGAATCTCAGTCGACCAAAAATTATTTTCTTTGGGTTGTTATTTGGAGAAGCATCGAAGCAGATAATAAAAATAATGCAGACACCGAGAATATAACTGACAGTAGATAGGACTCAGGATATCAATTTATCGATCCGTAAAATATTGGCACGCATCTTTTTCGGTGTAGTCGTTTTTAGGGATTTCACTGGTGAGAGTTCTTTTATAATGTATTCTCTTTCTTTCTTCTATTCATTGTTGTTTCTTTCTTGTTGTTTTCTTATCTTTTATTTTGTTGTCTTTGGGATTTTTTTATCAGTTTTTATTTATTGGCTTTTCCCTTTAATTATCTTGCAGTTTTCTCCATTCCTCACAAAAATAGTCTCTGATTATATCTCCATCTCACTCTGTCTTTATATATATATATAAGGTATGTACATGTTCTAATGTAACAGTGCATAATATATATATATATATATATATATATATATATATATATATATATATATATATATATATATATATTACAATGAATCATTCATACAAAAAGTAGATTAGTAAAGTTAAATTCAGCCATCCTCAGGCATGGAAATTATTTAGTTTTTAGTAAAATCCAAAAACCTAAAAACAAAATAATTTCCATGTCTGAGGTTCACTATCTACAGTTGAAGGTAATTGCAGATTTAAAAAAAAGACCTTATACAACTTGTAGTTATTAAAAACAAGGATCATAACATTCATCGAGTGGTTCGTAGGTTAATGCAACTTTAAAATTTTGTTTGCGAAAGGATTTCGCCATGTTATACCATTATCTTTACTAATCTACTTTTTGTATGAATGATTCATTATTATCATATATATATATATATATATATATATATATATATATATATATATAGAGAGAGAGAGAGAGAGAGAGAGAGAGAGAGAGAGAGAGAGGGTAAATATATGTGGACATTGAAGTCAACACCTAGAGTCAACAGTCAACATTACCGGAAACATCATGCTATTAGAGAAAAAACTGTATATAAAACATCTCTCTCCTACTATCAACCTCACATTATTTAACAGTGGAAATGGAGTGGTAAAAGTTGATTTTTTTTTTTTTTTTAAATAGAAAGATGCTCAAGCAAATTCCAACGGCAGGAAACACGCGAAGGCTCGGAATAAACACTCTTATTCAAAATAACAGAAAAAGAAAATACAATTTAAACAGTCAAAACATTAGGAAAAACTAACATCACCAAAAACAACCCCCCCTTGAAAATGGCTGAAGTGGCCGACTGCGCTTAGGAGAATTATAACTATGGAACATTTCTGTACTCTCTTAGGCCTACAAAATGGGGAAAAAAACTATATAAAACATTTAATTAAATCTTCTCTACCATATTTAATGAAAGACGTTTAAAATAAGGGTTTCTGCACAAATATACATCAGTATATATATATACATATATATACATCAGTATATATATATATATATATATATATATATATATATATATTATAAAAATTCGCTTGATGATGAAACAGAACTAATTATTTTAATTTAATTATATAATTAAATTTGAAGTTTTTAGGTTCAGTTTTCGAAACATGGTTATTACTGTGTAGCGAAGAGACCTCATTTTAAATCAGTTAATTTATAATATTTATGCTCTGTCAATTTACAGTGGAATAAAAAATATTAATAAGAATACCGGATTATATATATATATATATATATATATATATATATATATATATATATAAGGATAAGTATATTAACGATAAACTAGATCCGGCAGCAAGGGGTTGGAAAACTGGTGGTTTTGAGCAGTATGGAATGACCTCCTTTACCCATCACGTGATCTAATTATTTCAAGATGAGGTCGACTGTGCTTGCTCTCTCCCGATCCGTGTTCAAACCCACGTATCAGCAGCGACACTTCATTCTTTTTTTTTCCTTTTACTTGCTTTTCTAACTTTTTACTTTCTTTCATTCACCTTCATTCTTTTCATTTCTTTTCTTTCTTTTTCATTCTTACTTTAATGTCTTTTTGTCATCCTTCCGTTTCCTTTCTTTATCTCTCACTTTCTTCTCTCTCACCTTCTTCTCTCTCTTTCTTTCTCTCTCACTTTCTTCTCTCTCTTCCCTTCATTTCTTGGCTTTTGTCATCCAATTTCCGAGCAAAGGCAGCGTCCATGACCCAAAAGTTCCGACGACCATCAAATGTCACTGAACGTTGATTATCCGGTGACAAACATAACAATTAAACTTTGCATCCATTTCTCACATCTCACCGTCTCTCTCTCTTTCTCTATCTGCCTTTTCCTCTCCCTATTTCCTTCTCTCCCCTCCTTCTTTTCCTCTCTCTCCTTCTTTACCTCTCTCTCGCTACCCCTCCCTCTTTCTCCCAGTTTCTTTCCCTCTCTCTCGCTATCCCTCCCTCTTTCTCCCAGTTTCTTTCCCTCCCTCTCGCTATCCCTCCCTCTTTCTCCCAGTTTCTTTCCCTCTCTCTCTCGCTATCCCTCCCTCTTTCTCCCAGTTTCTTTCCCTCTCTCACAGTCCCTATCTTCTATTCTCTCTCTATTTCCTCTCTCTCTCTCTCTATCTGTCTTTCTTTCTCTCAAACACACACACACACACACACACACACACACACACACAAACATACCATACGATTATTGACCACATTTCCCTGACTGGAAAATCTAATATGTCACCGTTTGTAATAAATGAGCAAAGCTTATCGAATGGGGCCGAGATAATGAAGACATCGATAACGAGGATGGTGATGCCTCTGATTATATTGGGTAAATCTAATCGATAAACGCCAATTAATCCATTCCTCGGAAGCTAATTTCTATCCTTCACTGAGCAACCCGTCACCGATAAGTGATTGCACACAAGAAAGTTAAACTATTTCTCAAAACCTTGCAAAAAAAAACCGCGAAAACAGCTTCATGTGTTCTGTCTAAATAACGTGGACCTCGAGAAAAACATACTGGCAATGCCATGTCGTGATATCACTTAAAGTAAGAGAACATTTGCGTCTTTCGCTACACTATCGCTATTTCCATGGCAAATGTTCAACCGAGCTATATTCATTCCTTGCACCAGTTCAGATTTCCACAACTAACATCTGACATACCAAGTACATTAGGAAAAATTATACGCATTCACTTTATTTTTCAATAAAAAGCAAAGTTCTGTTCGAACAGTTCTTTTGCTCCCTACAAACTTGGGCCAACCGTTAACTATTTATTTTCAACGCTACAGTCTAGGATCAACCGTTATCTATCATACATATGCTCATAATTTTCACTTCTTAACTCCTCTTCTCACGTACACACAACATCATACGGACTGCTCAGATGTTGCTTCCCTGATCAGTACAATTTTAATCAAGTCCAGCGTCAACCGTAATCTTTCCGAAATATCTTCATAATTTGCATTTCTTACCACTGTGTAAGTGGTAAGAAATGCAAATTACGTCCATATCACCTTATCGAGTAAACTTCTACCTTGAGTGGCTCTTTGAATTTGTACTGGATGATCTATTAGTTAAGAAAAAAATACCTCCATAACTGCCTATTTAGAGACTAGCATTAACTGTTAATTTGTTAGGGATTAATTTTAATGTTATGTATTTTTAAAGTATGTAATTTTGAATTTATTAGGTTAATAAATGAACTTATCCCGTATCGACGATTTCTGCTACATCGGTTTTCCCTATCCAGGTTCAATATCACAAATAAACAGTTAATAGTTTTCAATAATGTTACGAAATGGTGTTATTTTCCTTTCTCTTAATACTTTGCTTAGTTTAGGAAAGGCATGAGACGTTTATCCATCATTCACTGTCATATAAAAGATTAGATATTCCATAGCAATTCAGCACACTTTTATTTGTTTCTAACGACATTTTCCTATTTCTTGATACTTTTTTAATCGAAATCACCACAAGTAAGGGACAAAGCCACTGAGACATAATGCGTTACTGGATGTGAAAGAATTAGAAAACAGAATCATTACTAAGGAGCGAGAACAATAGAAGTGTGATCAGGAAGACAATAGATAAAGATTGACATTGCATTTAAATTTTTGAAGATCAAAGTTGACTGGAAAGCATGAAGCATGAAAGAAGTTGCATAAACGAGAAATGTGAGAAAAGAAAGTGTTAACATTGAACTTACTGTTATGTCTAACCATTTCAATTGTAAATCAATGAGACCTAGCTGCCAACCTAGTACCGCACTTCAACTCATAAAGTCTAGGTACGATAACGAAGAGCGATATTTATTTTCCGCTTCAATACAGAAAATGTGGCACAAGGTCAAAATGGTGATTGGGGAAATGACGGTCATCATCTGTTTTAACATTAAACTTACCTAGCCACAAACACTGACCCAGACATAACACAATATTTCTAACAGCAAATCAACGCATTCTTACTTAATTTTCTTACTACATCCACCGTAATACCTCAGTGTCTCTATGAAAATCCTAACTAGTCTTCATATGTACAATTCATTGTCTGTGGGGGGAATAAAATAACAATTTAAAATTCTAAGCCCCAATGAATATTTACAAAATATATACAAGAAACTAAATAAAATAGGGTTAGAAAAAAAAAACTACAATCCTTAAATGTGGCAGAAACATCAGTTAACTGGACGAAATCAACGCGTGACTATAATAATATAAAATATTCTTTCATACCATGCATTCCCTCAAACACACACTGATAACGAAGAGATTATTATACGAGCAATTGCCATGAAGGTATTTATCGAAACATGCTAAAGAAGACAACATTATGGCGGCGGGAAAATGAGCACTTAGTTTTTGAAAAGCATCTTTCGTTACTCTTGTGAACCTTCGGAGTTGTGTCATATTTTCCGCTGTCTGTTACCTAGATAGTTAAATTTCTGTACCTGCAATACAAGCCTCGCACCTTTGGCTGTCGGTTTTTGCTAACAAGCCTGCAGTCTTCATTCTTGCAGTTAAGGAATAATTCTTTCTTTCTCTTCACTGCCATGTCTAAGAGATTTCTTTTCAATTTCTCTTCCGTGTCTACCCTCAGCAGACTTTAATCCGAATATCTTATCTTATTAAGATTATTGCCATCAATAATAAATCCTCCTAGAACGTCTCGAACAATGATTCGCGAAACTTATCAAATAAATCCAATGAACAAACGCATCCTTGTTTTTCTTATTGTTTTTTTTTCTTCTTTGTGTATAAAAACCATTTGAATACAGCAGGAAATGATTTTCTCTCATTCTTTTTATTACGTCAGTGACTCGAATCTGCGAAGCGTTTTAACAGAGGACGGGAAGGGCGACAAGGAAATCTAATAGATTAGGCAATGGATTAATTCCGACATATTTTTTATATATTTGTTTAAACGTTATTTTAAATAGACAGTCGTTCAGTAGATGAACTGTTTTTATTTATTTATTTAATGAATAGTATATTTTTTAATTTACACCTACCGGAGTTGTTCAGATTATTGATCATTCTAGATAACAGACTCTCTCCCAGACACAATAATAAAGGTCTGCTTATCATAGTTTGAGTATAAACCACAGTTTGGCTCTGTGGGTGTTGAACAAACAAAAATGTGCCTGAGCTAGTGTCTGCAATAGGGATTGGCTAGCAGTTCTAGTAGACAAGAATTCCCGAATACGAGTGGCAAGCTATTAAAATTATATATATATATATATATATATATATATATATATATATATATATATATATATATATATATATATATATTACAGAAATGAAAGTGTGCAGCCTAATATTACAAGACATTTTAAAAGCAAAGCAACAGGTTTCGCTCCCGCTCTTCAGGCTTCTAAGGGGGATTTTACTTAAATTAAAACAATGGAATAATTTTTAATGAAACGGAGAAATATATATATATATATATATATATATATATATATATATATATATATATTTAAGCATTTTACCCCAAGCAAAGCGGGAAGCCACTAAGATGCAAGGGGTTACAGAAAGTTTAGAGCAAGATCAGATAGAAGGGATAGAAGAAAGGGTGAGGGTAGTGGATAGATCAAGGCAACTGGAGATGTCGATTGACATTACATTTGAATAGCTGGAGATTATAGCTCGCAGGGAAACAGAAGGGAATCGAGTTCCACAGGCGAGAGGTGCGAGACATGAAGCTATTAGAGTAGAAGAGACAGCTACATTTAGGAGTTTCGACAGTGAAGGGGTGAGAGCGGGATGCCAGCCTCGTAAGGCGCTGGAACTCATGACGTCTGGGAACCAGCGAATGCAGCTCCTCGGAGCAATTTCCATGAAAGTATTTGTAGAACAGACAGAGGGAGGCGACGGCGCGTCTGTGAGAAAATGACTGTACACGAGATGCCAGGGCAGGGCCAATTATATTGCATATCCGCCTCTGGAGCCTATCAAGAACCCCGAGAAATCAAGAGATCAGGTGATGAATCCGGTACCTTGGTTTCAACCTTAAGGTATCCTCAGGCGATTTTACCAAATGACCTCTCAACACTTCCTTTTTATTTTTAAAGTAATGAATGGCATATTATTTTTTAAATAAATAAACAAGCACACGACGTTCTGTATGATAGAATACGAAGAGGAGGAGGAGGATGTGCAAAAAAATGTACATTTCAATTAGCTCCTCCCCCGCACCGATACTTTTTTAAGACCCTTGCTTTTCTTATTTTTTCCCTTTTTCTTCTTCGTCTTCTCCTTCCTTCTTCACATCCTTCCCCTAATTTTCTATCACATCTAACGACGTTTATTTTTTTTAAATAATACAGCGTTCATTAGTTTTTTTTTTTTCCTAATAAAGCGTTGGGAGGTAAATTGATAAAAATCGACTGAAGATACCGTAAGATTAAAACCAAGGTAGTGGATTTAAATGACCTCCTGATTTTTAAAGTTAAAAAAGCTCTACATGTTATTTTTACTTTTATTTTATTTTTTTTCTCATATATATATATATATATATATATATATATATATATATATATATATATATATATATATATGCACATATTGAATACGACAGACAAGATAATGAAAGCTTTATTAATAAAACCAAAAAAGACAACACTTAATAATATTAACTTTGAACATGGACACAATATTTTGACCGTGTTTTGAAAAATGAAAACATTTTATAAAACACACATACAACAAACTATTTCTTGTTTTAACAGTTAAAATATTTAATCCTTGAAAATGGCTAAATGTATAGCCGAAAGCGCTCGCATAAAAAGAACATTCGGACAGTTTTATATAATTTTTCATCCGAAAAGAAAAAAATATTAGATCGCATGAGAAAACTATATAAAAGCAAACTATGTCATTTTATCCATTCTTTTTGAATCTACATCGAGATCATGATGTATAGACAACCCAAGATGTTTATAGATGCCTTGCAGGCCTGTAATGCTCTGCGTTACTTCATCGTCTCACGATACATACAAAAATGATCCTGGTTTGTTTAAATGTGATTAATTTGTTTATTACGACTTAACCACCTTTTGCAGGTTATTTAAAGCCAGGAAATATTTTTACATTGTATGAATTTTGTTTTGAGATAATAATAATAATAATAATAATAATAATAATAATAATAATAATAATTTTTACTGATACAAAACCTACTAATTAACCCATAGAGTTGAGGAGATTGTGCATAAGTGAATATAACGAACTTAACTGGAATTCGACTCCGATTTTAAATTCCGAACTGTTATCCATTACACTACCCGCACATCTAAGGTTACAGCTCCTGGTATTCACAAGCGGTC